GTGCAGTACCATTGTTCAGTTCAGTCATACACGAAGCAAGGTACAAACAAAAAATATTTGCGCATCATGGATCGATGGGTCTATTGCGGAGCGAGAAAAATTTCGCAAAATTATCTTCAATTAATTCGTGCCCAACAATCGAAACAAGAATCGATGGATTCATTATTGCTCAATCCGGTCCGGAGGAAGGTAGACAGACCAACCCACAAAAATTTGGGCATTGTGGATGGGAGACTACGATGAACAGTACCGAAAATTTGGGATCGGATTGGTCTACCCTTGATACGAGAAAAATTCTCCCTATACTTTACTATTGACAAATTTTGGATGCTTATTTGGCTTGTGTTTTAAAGAGTTAACAGTTGCAAACTGATTTACATGCCCAAAACCATTATGTTTAATAATATATTCAACTACGTACCGCTTACACGTGTAGGGTTCTTGCTGTTGTTCCCTAAACTCCGCGTGCCGAGACTGTGCTTCCTTATTCTTGTCCTCTTTCAAGTCTCTAGTAAAATGTGCAAGTTTTTTGTTGTATTAAAATAGCGAAGTTATAAAAGCATAAAATCAAAACAGTAAAATAACTTAACTCAAAAATGAGGCAGATGCTTGGAGAAGTAGTAGTAGGTGCGTGTTGCGAGAGATCCCCGAGTTGAGTGTTGGAAGTCGAGTGTCGTAATCGAGTTGCCGAAAAGAAGTGCTTTAAATTTTCTATTTAAAACAGAAGCCAAAACGTGGAAGCGCGTCACAGGTCATTTTTAGAAAAAACAACACCTAAAAACTGACAAATAACTCGCAAAACCGCAAAAATGAGGCAATGTTTACAACCATGCTTGAATATCTGTCTGAGCAGAGACAATGCATATGGTCTGAGGCTCTGAGCATAGATATGCATTGTCTTTGCTCTGAGCGAACGAAGTGTCTGATCAACTTTACAAATCCAATTGTTACGTCATCGCTGACTTTTAGCTGATCGGCCATTGTTACGGAAATAAACAAGGAAACCGGTGCTCAGGGAAACATCAATTCCAGAGAAAACTACAACAAAAATAATGTTCAATTAGTTCGTGTCCAACAATCGAAACGATGCAAAGCCCACTTGTTTACGAAAATCAATGAATGTGATTGTGTGTTTTTTTTTTTTTTTTTTATATGTGAGGCTTACCGCTTACTCACTCAAACAATTGTTATGTGTCCAACATTACATTTGAGTGTAGTAGTCCAATAGCCAAATTTGTTTTTTTATTCATGGGACTTAGACCTCGCTTTCAAATAATAGTCTGTGTAATAGTTGATTATTCGTTCAAACTGTTTCATTTCTCAAAGACAAATCTTATCTTTTAAAAATTTACTTTGCTAAAATAAATATATTTTTTTTGTTCAATTTGTATAACGCGCCTCAGCCCTTCTCTTATTTTCTCATTTTGTTTTTAATCATCACATGTCGATGGCTATTGAAATTTGTAGCCCAATTGCAGGCAATTTAGGTAAATTAGATAACAAACATCACATGTAATATCAAAAACGATAAATAGCATCCCGATCCCGCTTACATATATTTTCCAATTATGTATCCATGACGAATGCTTGTAATATCCTTACCTGACCCCTTCATAAATTATTCTCCCAGTCCAAAATGAATGCAATATTTCTTCAAATGAAAAATAGTAATGGGCTTCTTAGTTGCATCATACCACATTTATTTTGTTAGTTTTATAACTTTTCTGTATTACCATGTTTATTCAAATTGTTTGTTTGTATATATAGATGTTAACACGAACAATTGCTTAGTCCATTTTTTTGTTTTGTTCGTTTTTTTTTTTTTTTTTCAAATTTTGTTTCATGAATTTTAACCACTTCAAATAGTCATATTTTACTGTGAACTTATCAGCGTAAACTTGGAGGGAGCTGACTCCGATGACCGCATGGTCGTATCGCTCCTTCCAGTCTATACCGGAAAAAGGGTATTTTTTGTTACCATTATTTATTGTTATGACTGTTTTGTTTTTTTCTGGTTGACGAAAATAAATCTCTCTCTCTCTCTCTCTCTCTCTCTCTGTTGCTGAATTTGTATCGTCTTATCGCTAGAGGCAGCAGCGCGTCAGACACTGTCGTTGTTATCGAGCCCACGCCAAAACAAAAACACGGAAACAGTTGTACGCTAGATGTCGGATAGGATAGGATTTACAATTACATAGGTATGGAGATAACGATATGATAGCTGTCAATGCCTTTTAAATACTTTCTCAGTCGTTGCAGCATTTTCTGATATAATAGCTTTTAATAAGCTTAGTTGATAAGCTGAGGGGTGTGGAGTTTCCGGGTCTCATGTAGTTTCGTTCCTAACGTACCGGTACCGGTACTTCTAGTGGGCGTAGCATGACAATTTTTTCATGTGTAAAATCCTAAACCCCACCTGACTACGCCATCCAAAAATGACGTCACAGAGACTTAATAGAGCCCTTCAAACTATACGACCTCTCATCTAAGACGCGCAGACCAGCACCCAAAATCGAACAGCTACCGTACCGGTACAGTATCTCTCTAGTTTTCTCCTCGCAACGATCCCAATATGAGAGAGATCACTGGCGTTAGCAAATTCGTTATCGTCGGCGTTGATGCCATTTCCGGCGATCGTACATATATTTGACAAGCTCTATGACATGGTTGTGATGTCGTACCGTAATGGAGTAATTTTTGGATGGCGTAGTCAGGTGGGGGTTAGGATTGACATGTCAAAAAACTGTTACCGGTATGCTACGCCCACTAATAGTACCGGTACCATACGTTAGATAGGAAACTACACGAGACCCAGTTTTCGTTGGTCATTGCAGCATTGGCTGATTGGCAAGTTTATGTCCCGAGCAAATCTTGGGTCTCGTTTAGTTTCGTACCCAACGTACTTCTAGTAGGCGTAGCATAAAATTTTCTTGACATGCCAATCCTAACCCTCACCTGACTACACCATCCAAAAATTACGCCACTACGACGTCACAATCACGTCATAGACCCTGCCAAATGCTCGTAAGATCGCCTGATATGGCATCGGCACCGACGATAAAGAACTGACTAACGTCAGCGATCTGTCTCCTATCGGGATCGTTACGACGAGAAAACGAGAGAAGTGGCTGTTCGATTTCGGGTTCTCTTCTGCGCGTCTTGGATGACAGTTCGCATAATTTGAAGGGCTCTATTACATCACTGTGACGTCGTAGTAACGTAATTTTTGGATGGTGTGGTCGGGTTGGGGTTAGGATTGACACGTGAAAAAATTGTTATGCTACGCCTACTAGAAGTATGTTAGGTACGAAACTACATGAGACCCCAAATCTTCATGTCTAATCGGTTTGGTTCAAATGTATTGTGAAAACATCCAAATTGCTGAATTGGCCATTTATACCTTTTCCTTTTACATGGGGTCATGGAACTGCCATAAACTCACTATTGTCTGATTGTAGATATCACCGTTATGTCGTACCGGTACCTGTCTCATCTACGGATGTTACACAATGCGCCTTTTCAAGTCTGTTAGGTACCGTTACGTCGTGTCGGAATAGCGCTGATAAAAACGACTACGAATCGCCTACATAAGCTTGCAATTTCATGAAATTTTGACATAACGTGAAAATAAAATACACGACTATGTCCTGGTATTTGAATTATTTCATTAGCGCATAATTTCATAACATTCGATGCTTCTAAAAATTACGCTCAACTTATACGTAATGCAGATTAATGATATTGTCTTTGGACACTAATAACATTTATATGAACATGTATTTCTTTCTTAACTTTATACTTACCGATTTTTATGCAGTTTGTTTAATCAGAACATTGTTAATTATTACCCGCAGGCCGCAACGAACCACTGTAAAACTAATATACACCACTCCAGCACTGACTTGCGACGATCTTCCGACGACCTCAATGATAGTTGTCAGAATAAAATTCTCAAATAGTCCCGATATTCCATAGATTTGACACATATCGAGAGATTAGTAATTGATATGTGTTTTTACTAATATTCGATAAAATTTTATTAAAAAAAGGTAATTCACAGACGTTTCACGAAACCGTACAAAATAATTCAAGGCATAATTCTGTACATAATAATTCAATTAATATGATCTTAGCCCGAGTCTGTCATCGCGCATAGGTTATTGATTGAACGCCGGCATTTTCCCTCGCAACGATCTCTCTTGTTTTGCTGTAATTGCTTACGAGTTGAGGAATATTGAATGGTAAATAAATTGTTCATTAAATAAGGTCGGATATGAAAAGTGATAAATCAGTTGATTACTGCGTACTCGTGGACTTGCGTAGTGGAGGCCGCTGCCGACCAGAGGTTAGGTGAAGTTCAGAGACTTCCTCTTACATAATTTAATTAAAAAGCAGCTAATTTATTTAAAAAAATTTGTAAACTTCGTTTCATTAAGTTTTTCTGTTCACAATATCTTTTTGTTCCGAACTTGGTATTGTTTTCTTATTTTCACTTAGCTCTATCCATTGGCGCAGTTTTATTTTAAATCAGATGAACGTTAGATTTTTTCTAACATACCTACTCTGTCTGTCTTGTGTATTGTTGAAATAAGCTGGCAACAAGCTCAGAAGCTAGCACATATTGCCATAGGCTTACCTTGTCATTATTAAGTCTTTTTATCAACAACATTTTGAAACATGAATGACTGTGCGTGTGTGACCGAAACATTATTTTTTCCCTAAACATTATCTTGTGTTGTGTGTTAGTTCTTTTTTCCTTATCCAGCCAGCTAAATTGAACTGGTACTGGTAGCCAGGAATTCATGGCTTGAACTTTATTGTCATTGACTTTTCTTACCTTGAGATAAATATGAAAATCCAAACTAGGTAAATCTTTACTTATGGGCATAGCCAGTATAGCTAATATATGGATTTGACTATTATATACCAGTTCCAAGGTCTTTACTATGTCAGTATGTGGGAGAAGTTCTGCATTACACAAACTGAATTGTTTTATGATATTCATAAATATCACATTCAATTTAGATAGTACCTGTTAGGTATAGTTTAAACGTTCTGAATACTGAAACATGAATTCTGAACTCAGTGAAGTAGAATTGCAAAAACTCTACTCATGGATCGACGTGATTCCATTGAGTAGAAAGAAAAAGTCTGTTGCAAGAGATTTTAGTGATGGAATATTGGTTGCTGAAGTTGTAAGGCATTTTATTCCACGGCTTGTTGAAATGCATAATTACACCAGTGCTAATTCTACAAATCAAAAACTCAACAACTGGCAAACACTGAATAGAAAAGTAAGTCAGTGATATATAAACCTTCTTCGATGTTATTGATGGCTGTAAAATTTTTTGACTACCAAATTTTCAGTTTAATTACAGTTTGAACATCTTACATATAAAGCAGAGGACAGATGTGTTTTTTAATTGCAGTTTCAAACTTATGATCTTTAATTAAGTTTGCCATGTCTTGAGCTTTTCGACCATGTTAGTATACATGGAATATATGCAAAACGAATTCAATTCCGCTTTTTCATCTGTATCGTTGATATATAAATTGCCTCAAAATTCAAACTGATATGTGTTGCATCATTACATTATCAGATACCGGTACATGATAGATGGAATAGATGCTTTTAAATATTCAAAGAAAGCAAATTTGCTATTTAAGTAATCTGAACATTATATCAGACTGATTCCAAAATCTGCTGACATCTAATATGGGGACGTAGACCGGTTGCAATTGGTGTTAAATGACTCGATTAAAATGATTACATATTTATCAAATTAAGCATCATTAGACATTTTAAAATATCTCCGTTATACATTGCAGCATATGTTCTGATTCAATTATTTATATAAGCTTGTATTAATATATTGTTCTCGTTTCCAACTTAAATTTCAATATCCAATTTAAATATCAAAATTATTATATCTACATCATCATCCTACAAGTGAATATTGCCCTGGATTTAGAATTTCATATTTTTCATCTCTGAAAAACGTTAAACTAATATTTCATGAAATTACTAGCTTTTAGTTGAAGAATTTTAATTTTCTTTAGGTTTTGTCGAAATTGAACTTCACTATACCCGCATCAGTAATGCAAGAGATATCTGAATGTAAACCACGAGTGATGGAAGTGTTCTTGTTTGGTTTATGGCAGAAAATTGAAGAATACATCATCAAGACAGGAAGCAAGATAGGAGGTATACTTGCTAATTTATAATATGGTTTATTTTAGCATTTTTTCATTTCAGTTAGAAAGTATTTTATTCATTTTCAACAATGAAATTTTTTAAACATGCATATCATATGAGCACTTAAATGATAAATTTATTTTAAATTTTATATTTCTTCACAATTATTTTTTCAGGTTATCAAGAAAGACCATATTATAATGCAAGATCGAGTGGGCCAGATGTTGATAGCAGGACTGGAGAAAGCATGGTCAGTCGACCGAGACGGGACTCGGTATTATAATACCTTGTTTCTTACGTATTTTTACATGTATTGTTCACCTGGATGATGCCTGATTTTTACTTGTGGCTGAATTAACATAATGTTTTCAGTCCATTTTATACATTCTGGATAGTTCTCACATGAATTTGAATTTATAGACTCTATGGAAATCCATTGTTTTTCCTTTTCCATTCACGATCCATTCCACATGGTCATATTTTGCTAACAAAAAGACTATCAAAATTTTATGTTATCACTGAAACGTGATGTAAGAACCAAATGATACAACTGAAGCTCAAGAAGTGGAAAATGGGCCAATATACTCTAATCCTAATATGATCTGATTTCTCTACCTACAGCTACCTTTATTTTAACATCTTTGTTATTATAATTATTCTGTTGAAAGTATGCTAAGCAATATTTTTTTACAATTTTTTATTGTTATTCTCCACTATCTGAAGGGCCAGTGGACATGGTTATGTTTGTTTCATTTCATGTCTATTTACTTAATGATTGATGCTTGTAACGTTGTAAGTCTAGTTTTTGTCTGATATTTAAACCATAGGAGCTCTTGAAAACTCTTAAAATATTTACTGAGACAACCCACTTTTAATTTGACTTCAACACCTGCTTGTAAGGATGTATTAATTCATTCCATTGAAAATACTCGAAATTATTCAACCAGAAGTACTTTGTCACACAGACCCAAATTATTTTGAAGTCCCTTTTCTCAATTCAAGGATTATTTGAGTAGAGTAAGCCCTGTCATTGCTGAATTATTATTTAAATGTAATTGAAACATTGATTTTTCTTGCATAGTGCAATAGAGGTCATGTGTGCACTACAATGATAATCCATACTATTGTTATCAGCTTGCTTTGATCATTGCTATTAATCATTAGAAATTTGGTAAAACATACTGCCAGGGATAGCCATAACTAAATACTTGCCTATTTCAATTAAATTCTAAGAAAATATATACAAATCTGGAATTCTGAATACATTCTAAAATCTCCCACATAAATTTTATTTACGCGATATTCAATATTTTCATAAATACTAAAAAGGATATTCGAATATTAAATTCAAACACCCCAGCATACTGCACCCACATATTTAGTTTTTATTAATTGAGTTCTTGTTTACTTCCACAGGTTCCTGAGTATATAGTTAAGAATCCAGTCCCTTTGAGCCAGCTGAACCTTGATATGCTTGATACTGAGACAAGGTTGATACTAGAAGAAAAGGAACAAGCACTTTTAGCATCTATGGAAACTGTTCAGATTCTCCAGGTGAGTAAATTGATGCACAAATGATATTCCCAATCTCTTTCAAGCTATTTATATAATATTATTTACCCTTTATTATGGTTCCAGTTAATTGGTATATCTGCAGTTCATTAATTCTATTATGTCAGAGAAGGTTTTAATTTATTTCATACATATAATAATAGTTTGAATTAATTAAAAATTTATCAATACCAGCATTGGGATTTTATATAAAACATAGCTTGACTTGTACCTACTTTTCATTTTTGCATTGCTTTTTTAGTTTCATGCATAGACATTTCCAACTCGTGTTCTTGCTGTTTGTCCTATGTTTCATTAATAACATTGTTTTGTGATAGTTTGTATTTTGTCTAATGTTGAAATATGTGATCGTTTATATTTAGGTAAAGATCAGTCGTCTTGAGCATCTCCTTCGCCTAAAAGATCTTAGAATACAGGATTTACAAGAGAGGCAAAGCAGATTTGATTCAGCTACCCATTAATATCATTTGACTGTTCCTATTTCTATTGTCTTCAATTTTTAATTTCATATCTTTCTATTTTATCTGATGATGGAGGTGATCGCATTATTAGAGCAAACTTTCCTCTTTTTATAATTGTAATCATTTCTTCAGCTTTTCAGTTGCAACTGTTTTGATATAGAGCAGTAGTTCTCAAACTTTTTAAGCTGTGCCCCCTTTTTAGAATTTGTCAAGTCTCGCACCCTATCTCCAAAATGCCTAGCTAACAATAATCTACAAATAACAGATAGTAAAGCGAAAGTATGTTTATTCAAAAACGCGTTGAAAACACATGGATGGAACTCAAATTATGAAATGAATGAAAAGTTTAAAAAACAAATGAGGCGGGCAAGATCAAATCTAACAAATAATTTTATTTTGAATTAGCTCCATGCTCCTTCAAAAAATTGTCCACGCCCCATCGTTTGAGAACCACTGATATAGAGTGTTAATGGAACTTCAAAGTGATGATATAAATTAAAAATGTGAATAAAAACAGAAAATTTTAGTGTTTATTGAAAAAAATAATTGGTTTTCCTTGGTGCCAATCTCCCGTAGGATTTGTGGATGTTTGGGTTGAAAATACTCTTTATACGATTGATCTCTACATCATTCTCCAAAAAATACTTGCTGTTTTAATAGGAGTCTGTATATGCAGTAATTTGGAAAGAAAGGTTATATTGATAAAATTTCATTACTGTGCACATTAGTACCTTGGAATCATCTTTTTTATTTAAAAACATGTCTTTTGTGAACATACTTTCTGTAAGTATAGCCTGGTGTTTTAATATTTTGTCTTTGAGACTCAGATTGTATTGTGTACGCTTAATCTTTTTATAAAAATTGTAATTTTGAAAGTGAAGATGACATGATTTTTCATATTCTATGGTGTTTGTACATTTTAAATATCGAGCACATATCAGCTAACAAAATTAAGTGTAAACGACACAGTCCAAGTTAATGGAAGCTGTGGATTTAAGAGAATGCTTCTGGAAAAATTGTTCCGTAGTATGGTAAATTTGGAATTATCTGTATGATTTATTTATTATGGTTATCTCATGATATCATACTCATTTTCTAAATGGATATTTATATATAACCAAGTATTTTGTTGTTATTAACTTCTTTACCTCGACTGTAAGAAGCATTCAATATTTTTGATAGTTGGAATTTTTTACACTTGTTTGCCAACTAATCCTTCACTAATATGTATATTGTTCCTCCATAAGTAAGCCCAAGTATTTTTGTAAAAACTTTGTGGCTTTCTTCCTATTCGTGTTTGATGATACAGCTATCGAGTTAATCAGTTTTTGTTTCGAATATCAATTTTTTATTACCATGACATTACTCCTTTTGTAGAAATTCTATATTTGTTACAAAATTGTTAATATATGGTAAGATTGTATCCTGTTTTTTTTTCTATCGATTACACTGTTTATATTTGTACTTTCTTATATGGGGTACGTTATTCGTAGGGTGCACTTCTCTATTTTGATGTAAAATACAGGTGAATTTGTGTTGAATTGTTTGATTGATACGCAATGTGTAGGCCCATTTTGGTGGTTATGTGAGATATGAGTTGGTAATATCCATAGTTGGGACAATAAAGATTTGGACTTATTTAGTATAGAATTTCCATATTTACCCCGCAGAGAAGAAAATCCATAAGGTGTCCTATTTCTCAGGTGTCCCACGGACTATTGTTCGTTTACAAGTTCATGCCGGTAGTCTATGGGGTTAGTTAGCCTGTTATTTCTTTCAGCTGCATATGGACCTGACCTCTTGGTGTTATGGAGCCTGTCAGTGGATCCCCACCATAAATACATAAAAAATCGATAATTTCGTATTAGAGTTACTGCAAGCGCATTCCTGCAATTAGCAGGATGCGCGGTGGTACCCTCCGATAAATGCTTGAGATCTTCTCCTCGTAACATGAGATTTAGATATTCATTCTTTGGAGGCCCGGAAAGCCGTTAAGACGTCCTAATTATATAGCGAACTCCGGCTACCGTACCAGTCCATGTTGGGTACCGGTATGATATTAGTTAGTATGATCAGAGTGTGAGGGATAGGATTTACATATTTATCCCGGGGGAGAGGAAAGCCGATAAGACGGCTTATCCATATGGCGAACCACGGCCTCTCGTCCGGTTACCATTCCAAGTCGGGTATGGGATTAGTTTTTACTGTATTGTTGTTTTTTCGGAAGCATGGACTTGGTGGTGGAGGAAGTCGTAAGCCGACCCAGCCGGTTACGTGAACCACCCAACGACGGCGAGGAGTCCAGCAATCCTCTCGCACATAACCATCCCTGCATGGGATTCGAACCTGCGAACCCACGCAGAGTAATTAGAGGTGCGGTGGCGAGCGTATTCCTAACGCTTAGCCCGTTGAGCCACACCGCCGCGCCCACCCAAAGAGAGACCCACCCAACCTACGGCGGAGAGAGTCCAGAAATCCTCGCGCAAATATATTGAAACCCTCACGAGGTGTAATGAGAGGTGCTGTGGCAAGCGTATTCCTGATCGCCACACCGCCGAGGTGTAACGTTGCAATGCGCTTTCACATCGCTGATAGCGAAATTCAATTTGGCCGCGCTTTGTGGGTAGTCTTATTGAAAAGTGAGAGAAGGCCTCGCTTAGATTGTGCGAAAAGTTCACATTTCTTCGCACGTCTCCAGTTGCCGTGCCACGTCTGTATTCTGTAACGAGAACTCGCATAAATGCGCGGATTGCGGTTATTTCAGTTGATTTACCTATTGAATTGTTTTGATTGAGGGAGAAAGTTCCATGCGTTTCCATTAGTCACCACTATGACTCGGCAGATATTGTTTGCGCGTGCAAAAAGGTTTGTGCGCCATTTATTTCAGCACAAAGCCATTTCGATAAAGCGCTTCAACATGTCTGGCGTTAACCCTGGATATTATGTTCTTGCTGGTGTTGGAGGATATATATTGACATCAATTTTTTTTCTTAAATGTCCTATCATATATAAGAAGAAACGTTTACTCTTCAAATGTTCACACATTAGTCACAGAGGAGGTATGTTATTTTACAATATTCGGTACCGTATCGTTAACTGTTATAACTTTATTATTATTATATTTAACTCTATTCTACTTGAGCTCTAGGAATTTTTTATGTATAGAATCGTCATCAGTGCATTAATAAATGTTAAAAACTGAAAGTTTTCAGTGAAACACAAAGATTCGAAGCCAAAAATCATGACCTCCAAGTCAGAGTTCCGCTAGCTTACTCATCCCTTACCATTATCAAAAGTTATTGTCATTATTTCTCACTGCAATGTTTGTACCTATTTCAGTATTTGTGTATTTTGTTATTGTATTGCAGTGTTAGGAAATAAATCATCGCTATCTTTTTACTATATCAAGGATGTTAGGAAAGCAAATGTGTAATCTATCATTAAGTTTAATCATATTATAACTTTCAATTCAGGAGCTGCGGAAAAATTAGAAAACACTTGTAATGCATATAGAAAGTGAGTTTTTGGGTCTGCATTTTAGAATTGTGCATTTCAAGTTGTTATTTAAAATAGACTACTGTACTCTTTATGCTAGTAAAATTTTCATTTATTAAATGAAATGAACCGGACTTACCGTAATTCAAATTTATTTTATATGTAGGAAAAATTTGCAGCTATATTGCAGTGTTCGTAATCAGGCTTATTTCTATTTTGCATAATGATCGTCAAATTAAATAAATTGGAACGATGAATTTATCATTAGACGTATATTTTAAGAATGTATAGTTTTGTATACTGTTTTTATTTTCAGTGCAATGGAATGTGGTACACAGATGTTGGAGTTGGATGTTCACCTCACTGCGGATAAAGTTGTTGTTGTGTCTCATGATAATCATTTACTCAGGACCACAGGGGAAGATGTTCATATCAAAGATACTAAATACGAGGTAAAAAATAGTTGCTTACCAAATGTATACATTGAAAATAAATTAGAAATTTGTATCCCCTGTTGATTCTGCAAGATATTTAATATCTAACATTCTATAATGACAACAATTGTAGATAAAATATGCACATCTTTTATTAAATTTACTGTCACTTCAGTAATTATTATTACGGAATTAGGTAAGGTCAATTAATGGTTGACGAAATTAAACTTTTTTTTATCTATAATGGGATATTACCGACTTTTGTAAATATGTGTCAAACTCAAAAATGTGGTAGACTGGTAGTTGTTTTTCGAAAATGTTGAAAATTGGTTGAAAAATTAAAAAGTTTTTTTTCCCATTATTTGAGCATTGCACCCTTGCTAATTTTAAGTTACAAAATCTTCTGAAAAAATAACCTTCATCACGGTAGGCTTCATTTCATAACAATACTAATTCTTTGATCGACTTTTGAACAGGATCTTCCATTGTTAAGTAAGGAATTGGGAGTCACATTCCATTATCACACAACTTGTCATCACGAGGGGAATGCTTTGCAAATAGAAAAACTGGAAGATGTGTTCCAGGAGTTTCCAAACACTCCGATTCATCTTGATGTCAAAATATATGATGAGGAATTGATTCAAGAGGTAAATGTTTCAGTCGTAAATTATATTTGTGCTTATTATAAATGTACTTTATCGAGTATGGACAAAAAATTATTCACAGTGTAGTCTGTTGTGTGCCTTGTCGTTTCTAAAATCCCTTTTTACTGAGTTATTGCTCTTACTGATAGTGATCAATTAGCTTGCAAAAAAGGAATTTTTTAGTGTCGACCGCCAATTCAAAGCTGCATAAGATTTATCCAATATCAAAGTGAATATTGTTTCCTTGAAAAATATTTGTATCAATTTCAGACAAATAATCTGATCAGGAAATATAACAGAGAAGAGATTACACCATGGGGAAATTTTTCAAACAAAGTAACTTCAAAATTGTATAAAACAGTAAGTTGGTTGTTATGTATCCCACCTGAATTATCAGAACCATCGTAATTTGAGTCAATTTGCCTGGCGCCAATTACCTGGCATATAACACACCAGTTACTCTTTGCATGTAATGGTTCCCCTAAATTTGCTCAGATATATATCTCCTTTACCTTTGAGTGAGTATGAACAACCTTTTTTGAGAGAGTATGTATGACATTGCTTTAAGCAAATTCTCGAATCTCTCAATTCAAAATCCAACTTTAAAATATATTGTAAGGCCGGTTATGAAGGGATGTCTTCATTACAAACCTGGGACAAAAGAACAGTATTTTTAGTGCTAGTTTTCTATGTTGAAAATGGTTCATTTTAGATTATTATTAAACCTACATAATAAAATAGTTTGTGCATCAAGATGTAGAATTGATACAGTAATACATTGGGTGAATCGTTTTTTCAGCAATTTGTTTTAATTAAGCGTTTTAGCAGGGTTAAAGTTGTACAATTACAATTTTTCAGAATCCAAATATACCTCTTGTGTTTTCAATGAAAAGAGTTGCCCTCACAGTGCTTACATTTTATCTTGGACTCCTACCATTCCTACCTATCAAAGAATCCTGTTTTGCTGTAATAATGCCTAATATAGCAAGAAAAGCGTAAGTAAATATTTATAGATGTTAGAATATAATGCACTGCCGAAGTTTAATACTAATATAAGTACCAGTAGGTTCCATTACATTTGAACCCACGTACATTTGAACCCATGACAATTGCACCTGTATGCTATTGCACCTATGGAATTTTTTTTGTTTCACGGATAGTTAAACCCATACTAACCATAACCCATGGGTTTTAGCACCCGCATATAGATTGAACCCGTGGATATACGCATGGGTTCAAATGTACATGGGTTCAAATGTACGGTCACCGTACCAGTACACTATGTATTTTAGTATAATATGTCTTTAGAATATTTCAGGGATGTATGTGTGAGTTAGTTTTTTAGGGTGGAGATTTTTCAAATGAAATTTGTACATTTCTAGACAAGCTTTGATACAAATAATCACTTTGATATTGCACTTGAAATATTACATCCAGAGGTGGGCCATGAATTTGGCATACCTCAAGATGTTGCTGAAAAATAGGAAAGGGTTATTATAACAATTGCTTAGGCAAAGTCAACCCATTAGTTCTTAGCCAAGGAATTTGGTCAGAAATCACAACAAACTATTCTGGTATAAAAACATCGATATGGTCTGTGCCTACTCACACGTACGCTGCTGCAATCAAGCATAACCTCTTCCTTTTCAGATTTAATCCATCAATGACGGAGTCTTGTGGCATACGAGCCTTGTTTGCTGTTATTGATTTTCTTCTGATGAGTAATGTGTTATTCACACACCTCAAAGACAGAGGAATCAATGTGAGTATGGTATATTATGTGTGTTATGTAGGAATAAACTCATAGTCATAGAGATTATAGTGTTTGGTTCATTGGGAAAGTTTGTTGTATAAAATTGAACCACTCTGAGAAGGTTTTTTACAATTTTAACGTGTATGTGGGTATGCATAAGAATTATTAGATTTTACCACTGCATATATCTTATCGGTTGCAGAAATTTCTAAATTAGGAAGTTTTATTCAAGTCTTTACTAACTGACGCAAATATCTTTAACACTATACATACAATACAATGATTAACATTGGAAGTGGAAATAACAATTTTACATTTACATGCTAATTTAAATATACCTTTGTGTTGTTTCATCGAAAGTTTCGTTCGACGATTATATTTAGTTTTATTTTGTATTTATTTCATAGGTCTATATTATATTATTATATAATATTATTTTATTGTCACACTAATTATTTTTGTCAATTTTGTTTTATAACATATTCTATCTTCACCTTAGATTTTAGCAGCTTAGTTTGCACGGAATGCACTTACTTATCACTGGTTTGGAAAGAATTAATAAATACATTCATCATCAACTTGGAAATGATAATAACGCCACCGAGTAATTTTTATCACAAATTAGCTTTGTTCTCCAGATATAACTTCATTGTCAATATTGAAGAGGAATTCCTGGAATATTGAATATACCTTTGTGTTGTTTCATCGAAAGTTTCGTTCGACGATTATATTTAGTTTTATTTTGTATTTATTTCATAGGTCTACCTGTGGGTGCTCAATGACGAAGAAGATTTCAAACGAGCATATAAAAAACTAGGTGTAACGGGTGTGATGACGGATTTTCCCAGCAAATTGAATGACTGGCTGAAAGAGCACCCACAATATAGATCTGATGATTGAAAATACTCCAACTCTTGTAATTAAAAACATCAAGTCATAAATTCTTTTGAGTTGCTAAACACGCACACACATATCCAGCCTTTTAGGTTGCAATATTTTTATATTTCATGTCAGTAGATATATATATATATATATATATGGACCAGATTTTTTTTTGTTATGTACTGTGTAAAGTGTGAATCATGCTTTATGCTGGATTCCATATGCACTTATTCAGAACTTGGGGTTAGGAACTCTTGAGCATATAACTAGTTGGTCTTTCTGTTTTTTGGTGTAATCAGGTATACATTGCCTACACATGATAAATTCCAAATTTTCTATAGTCCAAGTAATCTGTCAACAAAGGAATGTGTTGATTATTGTATTATGATTATCTCACCTCTGTGTTTGTCCATCTACCAAACGCCTGAAGGTTCGTACTTTCTCATGTCACATTTTTATGTCTATTTTTGTCGCTATAACTGTGCTGTAAATTTTAATTTGATAAATACTTTTTTTACTGCTGATCACATACAGTTAATAATCAATTTTTCAAATTTTTATTAGTTAGGGAACGATTTTGTACATTTACTACGCTGTGACAATATTATTTTATTGTCACACTAATTATTTTTGTCAATTTTGTTTTATAACATATTCTATCTTCACCTTAGATTTTAGCAGCTTAGTTTGCACGGAATGCACTTACTTATCACTGGTTTGGAAAGAATTAATTTAGCATAAATACATTCATCATCAACTTGGAAATGATAATAACGCCACCGAGTAATTTTTATCACAAATTAGCTTTGTTCTCCAGATATAACTTCATTGTCAATATTGAAGAGGAATTCCTGGTCCTCCTACTTTGCAAAAGCAAACAAAGCTTTTGCTGTTACTAATATATCTCCAAACGCGTCCATCCACTGTATTTGTGCCTGCCTGTGGTATCTTACCTCTAACAACGTGATGAACTATCCTCAATATATTAGGTTGCATTTCTATTTTGTGTACGTTTATCTTTGGTAACTTTTTCGTATAATATTCTTAATATTGTAATGACCTATGTTATGGAGTCACTTTTTTTAATTTTAAGCTTGGCAATATGAACAGAATGAATACATTATTTCCTATTTGATAATATCCGGAATAAATCATCTACCCAGGAGTTGTTTTCCATATGTTGAAACTTATATATTGGTGTAATGTCATCAAGTGAAATAGGTCAAATTATTCCCAAGCGCGGTAGACCCAAATGTTTGGGAAAGTTTGAACAATTTTTCACGATTATGCAAAAGCGATCCCTGGCAAAATTTCACCGAGTACCGTTTTGTCACATTGAACTAGAAGCGTATAAATTTGTAATAACTCTATTGCTTGATGAATGCATGGTTTAAAACTGAATGCCTTGATTTTAGAAGGGAATTAATTTAATCCTGAAACCAACAACGTTTAACATTCTATAAAATACTGATAAGTATATTTTTGCTGGTAGAAATCATGGAAATGATATCCTGTTGAGTCGGGTATACCATGTCAAACAGGAAAGAGTCCTTCCATGACCTATTTTATTTGTTCATTCAGGTATTTTTGTTGGGCGCATCGGGCTGCTGTTAATTCTGCTGCTTTAGTGCATATCAATCCCAATATTAGTTAGTAGTTGTAGCCTTCGATCAGGGGTGGGCAACCCCATTTATTCGGCACGCGAGCGAGGCTTCAGAAACGAAATCTTTTTTTTTTTTTCAAGAAAAAAGTTGCAAGACTCTGAATTATCTGTTGAAACTCTGCGACCGTTTAATCATTATTGTTTGGTAGCAATCCGTTATTTATTTAAACCCTTTTTGTTCTTTCAAGACATATGGCTTCAAAGAAATATATTATGACGTCACAACTGAGTGAGCTCTCGACAATTTTGGTCGGCACGCGGAAGAATTTTGTCATTAAATTTAGTCGATTTTGGCACGCGAGCCGGAAAAGGTTGCCCATCCCTGCCTTAGATGCCTTCAGTCCGTTCAACGCTATATCGGAACACCGGTTGGGGTACGGTCTGACATGGGTTACAGCTATAAGTGCGCCACGATGGTCCTTCGAGTGGACGCTGAGGTTCAAAACTGGATTAGTGGGAGCATCCGCGGAAAGGAATGGCTAACAAGAGGGCATTGAAATACAAGGACGCATCCCACATCCTTATTTGAGAAAAGCTGTCTTAAAAATGTCGTATCAACAATTGTCGTACGTTTCGGCTCGGCGATGGGGCACTAATCGCTAGGAATACTCTCGCCACCGCACCTCTGATTACCCCGCGGTGTGCGAGCGGATTGCTGGGCTCCTCGCCGCCGTAAGGTGGGCACGGCTTTTTCCGTCATCAAGTTCATGCATCTGAAAACAAATAACTGACTAACTAATCCCATAGTCGACGGGACGGTAACCGGGCGGGAGGCTGGGGTTCGTCATATGATTAAGCCCTCTTTTTGGATTTCCTCCCCTTCGGGATAAATATGTAAATCGAATCCTTTCTGACATTTGTCCCAAATGTATGAATCTCTCTTTAAAATGTATACACAACTTGTCTTTTATTTTAGTCTGCTTTTGAGGACGATGTAGGACCTGGAATGCCCTCGTTTGTCAATTTCTGTAATTCTTTTTATTTCCACTACACCCGCGTGTATGACATACTTACTGCCTACCGGTAATTCAGTATATATATATAGTGGATAACTTTATTCAAGGGTTTAACTTATAATTAAGCTTACCATACGTCCTGCTTTTAAGCGTCTTGTCCCGCCGTCCCGACAAGTCAGCCAAAAGTCCCGCTTTTGCATTCAGCCATCCAGCATCATACACGAACATGCTCTCGTTACTGTTGTTGCTGTGTAGCGCAACGTTAGCGTACTTACTGAAGGCAATGACATTAAACAACATGATGCGCAACTCCGGCATTTTTGTCCGAAGATCGTATTCGATAGCACGCTCCAATGCACATACTTGACGAGACGAAAACGAGCGGATGTATGCTGCTTTCAAGGCGTAGCACGAATGGTGTTCGTGCCTGCTTTGACAGTTGTTGTCGATTTTAATGATATTTTTGAAAGTTGGGGTAAAAAGAAATCGGTAAAAGGTAAGTTGAATACTATTGTTGTATATCACACCCGGGCGTCGCACTGTTAAGTACATGTGGGAAAGCCAGCCTTTGTCAAATACTACGAAGTTATTAATTCAGTACGGTACGTAGTTGCCCATTTGCCGAAATTACATATTTACTTACCCCTTATGGTTTCAAATAGTTCATGCACCTCCAGTTAGATTTTTTTAATCAGTGAGGATATATACTCATTGTTGATTGCTGCTCATTGTAACATACTATTACGCATTCACTTTTATTTGCGTATTGAATCAAAGTGTTAACAAGTTCACCTAACATTTCACTCATACCGGTCTATATTGTATAGTCTGATTTCTCAAGTATTTGAAGCCACGAATGCTTGTAATTTTCTGACTAAACCCTTTTATTAGTTGGTTTATATACCAAATTCAGTAAAATATTTTTTAAATAAAACATGAGATATTGGATTTATTAGCTTTTCCATTCTGAATCATATAGACTGCTTTATTTATTCTTAACGGAAATTAATAAATCTCCTCTCTTTCTTCAGATGTGAAAGTTGTGGACAAACCTGTCTAAGCATTGTGAGACTCTTGCAGCACAAGAGGCAATAGTAGAAATAGTAAGTATATCAATCAAGAAATTAAGCCGACATAAAGCAAAACTTTCAACTATTCGTCTAATCCCAATTTCCTATTATTTATTCACAGGACAACTATAGCAGACGGGGAGATATCAGTAGTCTGGCGACATATCAGTGACAGTGTGATTCCAAGAAATATAATGCAATTGAAAATAGAAAATTGCAATAGAAAAACAACCTATGGAGGCATGCAAAGACATTTGACCCTCCGGTAGAGTTGTGTATGGCCCCCACATCCTGCACAAAACACGCCAGACATACTTAAAACAGCTTTGGAAATGAGGATTACGGGTACCTCACTGCACCTGTGTTATATTTGGTTCATCAACTTTTGGTAGTACTATAGAAGAAATTCCGGAAGGGGTATAATCATCATTCATGATAAAATACTATCATATATTTTTTGAACAACTTCAATCTAGACCAGGGATCTTTTTATCTAAATGTAATAGATTTTTCAAACCTTCTAAAGTGAAATTGATTATTCACACAGAAAACAATTTACTGAAAGTAGTTTTGGAATATTGATTTTTTTTGTCCACATTTTGACCCAATTAAGAATACACATCAAGCTAGCAAAAGAATACTTGAATAAAACACTTGAGTAATTAAATTAAACGCAAAGTACATGAAGAAGGTGGCATTTTCGAAGAAAATGGGAGTTGTAACATTTCTGCTCTTCACAAAATTCTGAAGCACATTGTTTAATTTGTCATATTTCCATCAATACAATCAAAAAACACAATAAGCTCAGCAGTCAATATGACAAATTCGAAGACCAACTTCGAACAGAAAATTTCCATGTGTTTGTATATTAATATAATTACACAACGACTTAGTTACTAAAAATCAATATCAATAATAATTCAAGCAATCCTATGCCACGCAATGTAGTGCGAAATGTCTTGTCGAAAAAATCTGTCATTTGTTTTTTTACTGATCTATACATGAAATGATAAAAGTAACTTTTTTGCATTACTGGAATTAATTAAACATTCGTAAAGATCCAGATAAACCCATGATCATGTGGCCTCGTTAGTTAGAGTTGGTACTATAAAATCCTTTCAGACTGGCCTTAGTATGCTGGTGACACAAAAAAGATGCCAAACGCCAGGACAAATGTAATTATTAAAACATTGAGTTTATACTGTAGTATTTTTGTTAATTTTAGGTTCATATATTTAGATTAAGTTATTTTTAGTGTATGTATTATTCTTTCCTTATTCAAAGCTTGTTCAAAAATGATTTTGATGGTTGTACATAGAATTTTACGATTTTTTATAATAAATACTGTAACTTGCAAATGTTGCAATAATAGTGGAATGCAAATATTAATATGTAATTGCATTTGAAATTGAAGAAAATAATAAAACTTAATCCAACTGTTTAGTTGCATCACAATATATGTCACAAACTAAAACTATCTTAAAAATATCTTTTAAGTATACATTATCAAAAACTGTTTGCGGCTCTTTTTACAATTTTCAAAATGCAATGCGGCTCTCGAAAACCCATGAGTTTGACACCACTGATCTATTCTAGACGATTCAAGCATTGCTTTGGGAAATTATATCACTTCAATTAAATTGAAATAATTTCGCTATATTAAATACAAAATCGTTGCTATCATAGAGGTAAACCAATTCAGCCACTCGAAATATATTGGCCTTCACAAAGCAATGGAGGCAAAATTGAGAGTTCATGAGCTATGAACATTTGTTCTTTTCTTTGTCTTGAACTTTCCATACTCCACAGCCCCTATTAATTTTTTTAATTTTAATTACCATGTGATGGTCATACATATCTTTAACTTGTATTTTCTGTCATGATGTATTATCTCAATGTGCCAAACTATTAATTAGTGTGCATATTTTGCTTCCAGATGACATAAATATATTGTCATGTTTATTACCTCAGCTTGGAGTATTGACAAGAAAAAGGTGCCAGTAAATTAGGTAAAAAAATTTTCAACTCATTGTTATAATCAGAATTCACAATCAATAGGAATTATAAACAGCCAACAATCAGTGAGAATTATATGCGAAATCCCTCAGAATAAATTTGTCTAAAATCGGAGGAAGGCAAAAAATATAGGTAGTTTCCATCCACACAAGCATTTCAAGAAGACTTGCTCGAGCCAAACTAAATGAGCATCGTCAGGTGATCGGTAAGGCTGCAAGTTGAATTCAGCCCTGCAACCTTCTGCATAGAAGATAATATTAATTAGTGGGCTATGAGCTAAATTCCTAAATTTAAACAAACCTATCTACGATGCATTATGTACCAGCAATGTTACCTACGATTAACTGAATATGTAATATGTCTAATAAATTCACCTACAAAAGCAAGTTCGATAGGTGCAAACTTTGTGTTATGGAATTGTATCGCAGCACAGTTTTGTATGACACCCTCTTTAAATGAAATT